TTTTTTTTTTTTTTTTTTTTTTAAATATCTTTTATTTATTTATTTATTTAATTCCTTTTATTTTTTTTTATTGCAATGGTGCACAGACCTTGAGGGGTTGGGGCTCAGGGATCCAATATGAAGGGGAGACAGAGAGATGTACATATGTATATATATATATAAATATCTCCCAGGGATATCTATACAGGAGTACATAGGGTTTGGTATTTCAGGGTTGGGGGGTTCAGACAAGCCTCGAAGGTTTGGGGTTTAGGAGTTCCGGGTCCCAGCTCCATTTCAAGGAGATATATGTATCTGTTTATATTTGTATGGACGTATGTTATAGAGGTTTGGGGTTTAGGGGGTTCTGCGCCATTGGCCCCCTGATAGGCCATAGAGGTACATGGTTCACGATTCAGGGTTTAGGGTTGTTTAGAGTTATAAGACTTGGGGGCTTTGATGAGGATTTTCAGGGTGTAGGAATCCGGAATCCTTGTAATTAAGGATCTTCCGCGCATGAGGTTTGGAGCTTCGGGCTTTGATAAGGACTTTTAGGGGCTTCATCGTTTTGTTTAAGCTTCTGATTGGGTTGGGGTTGTTCTAGGTGTGGCCAGAAAGATCAGGGAGGAATGTGTTGTGGCAGGACTTACTGTTTTGAACGAGCATTTTTTTGATGAGAGTTGCTCAGTCCAATTTCTCCAAAGGTCACTCAGGGTTTGAGAAGTTTTAACATGTGGAGAAGGCCAAATGGTCTTGTCGTTTCAAATGCTAAAGGTGAAGGGTTGTTGCGTATGGGGAATCCTGAACAAGGACCCCCACGACAGTCCTTCTATACAACCACGGTTCATAGAGTTCCGTTTTTGAGATAGCTGCTGATAGCTGAGCATGAGATTAGCTGTTCAGATTGGGTCGTTCTCAAAATTATGGGCCGGTTTTGATTAAACATTCTATTGCAGCACCTCATTATTATATTTAGGGACGTGAAAATGGGACCCAGTTTCCCATCTTGTTTCCCTGGCAAAATAGGAGCCGCAGGTTCCCAGTTATTGCATCTGGGTTAGATGCTTCATGCTAGAGCTTGAGCTCTTTTGGACGTGGTCCATGAATTTTTTAGCGTTTAGCATCTAGAACTACCTGAAATGGTTTCACATACCATGTGCCTTTAGAGCTTACCATGGTTTTACATGGCTTGTGGGTTGATGGTTCTTGGATCATCTTTGGCTTGCGCTTCCCAAAACCAAGCGCGATTCTCGCCTGCAATCGCCACAGGCCTGAAAAAATAGACCTGCAATGATGGCCTGTTAAACCCGAAGCACTCGTTTTGACCCCTTAGGTCAGCCCCCTTTTCAGATTCCTGGGTAAGCATCTTTTTTTTGAGAGCCCAGAAAGTTCCGAAAAGGCGCAGTTCCGAGGCCTCAAGCGTTAAACCTCGAACCAGAAGCCATGGACATTAAGTTCCAGGGTTATACAGGGGCTGTATGATATTGGGAGGGTCAGGGGGACTTAGTAAGTAGGTGAACTACATGGATTACAGGGAATGCTAACCCACCTACTGAGTCCCCCCAACCTTCCTTGACTCTCCAAGTAGGGTCTAGGGATATTCGCCCCCAATTCTGGATAAGCAAACGGACAAGAGCAAGGATAATGGAATGGAAACAAGGTTTTAATAGGCCGGCTTACGTTAAACGACCACGAAAATCCTCATCGCTTGACTCCATGCCCGGCACTTGCACGCCAATGCTTCAATCCTAGATCCTAAGCGTACAGCCGTTCAGTTACCATAGTTTGGGTACACAGTAAAGATTGCATTTTATGGTAGCTTGCTCCCTGTTAGCAACCCTGTTTTCCCCGAATCCTCGAGGTGCAGACGGAGCCTGAGGGCCATACCGCTGCACTGCCAGCATATGTGGTGGCGGGTTCTTGTCTTGCCAATGGTGGCAAGAGTGCTACGGTGGATATTAAAAATCCTGCATGACCCCAAGTACCTTAAACCTGGGGCTTTATGATACTACGGTATAGTGCTGCTTTTTACTTTTAACAGTAGGTAACATATTCTTGGTTGTAGTGGTAAGAGGCCAAGGAGTGATCTTGCTTCAAGGGAAGGGGAGGGTTGGCAAGGAGGAGGTAAAAGGAGGAGAAAGAGGAGCAGTGTGGATTATGGCATTCTTCCTGAACAGGGATATATGGGGGGTTGTTCTAAAGGTCCTTGTAAAGAAGCGACCAATGGGAACACACTTCCATAAAGGGGGGTTCTAACCAAATAGGGAACCTACCTTATGGCCATTTCGGAGACAGTATTGTTTGAACAACGACCATATCATTGATGGTCCTTTAAGCAAGAAGGGAGAAAACAAGGTGTGTATGCAGAAATCATTTTGACTCAGCTCTTGAAGGTGGCGATAGGAACATTCTTTGCACTTGTCATGCCAGCAAAAAATATTTGTAAGGGGTAAGCGTAATACTACGTTTTCTGCATTCACCAGCAGTACAAACAATTAGAGCAGTACTGGTACTAAGAAGGCTTACAATACTTTTTCTAGCTTGGTGTGCCAGACATGACACCGGAGTGGTGAGGCATTGGAATTTAGGAATTTAGGGATGATTCCAACCTAAACCCAGAACCTCGTGACAAAGCGAAATCAGACCAGAACCCTGCAAATTGTCTCAGCCCAGCTATCATGGGAATGTATGGTTTGCGTCAATGATTTCTTGTTGGTTCTTAGCAGGCCTCATCGAGCCTTGTTAGAACACGGGGGGTTGGTACAATGCAGACCTGAATAGTACAGGTACGATTTCGTCATACCTAGATTAACTGCAGGATAATGTGCCCCATTTAGATAGGCCCTATGAACTACTTTCCCATGGTGATATAGTCCCCCTTAGGTAGATAGAATGTGGGGTATATGGGTATCTTCTTATAATATACCCAAAGCCGAATTCTATCTACTTAAGGGGGACTATACCAACCTGAAATGTTCCTAGGCTTTGAGGAATCCAACCCAGTTAGATAAGCCCCATGTAATACATTCCCATGATGATAGACAGAGCCCGTTTCAAGCCGGAAGCTTGAGCTAGGAAAGCTCGCAAGAACCGAGCGGCTCCCGAAAACAGAGCAGGGCCATGTCGTTGAGGCAGAGGGCCCCAGTCTACGATTGTAGAGCACATATTTGTTTAGGGTTTAGGGCTTAGGGTTATACATGCACATATAGTTTTTTTACTGTCAAGCTATCGGGGAATCCCAAAGAGGGATGGACACATACTACCTCCCCTCCAAAGACAAGTCATATGGGAGTTTCCTCGAAAAGCGGACCCTGCTTATTATAAACCCTTTTACAGAGACCACCCAACAAGGTACTCCTGATTTACGGACACCCCCATGTGGGGTTCCATTTTCTGGGTTGCTGTTAAGAAACGTAGCTTAAATTACCATAATGGGCATATATAGTACTTAATATGGTTTCCCCCAATATCGTAACTTAAATAAATTTCCCCAATGTAGTACTTTGAATTAAGTTCCTTAACAGCAACCCAGTTGAGTTAGTGTCCCAGGGTTTGAATCTTACTCAGAGCTGGAAGCCCGCACCTTGAGTCTGAAGCTTCCGGGGTAGGGGTTTATAGGGTTTAGATATGTTATGAGGTTTGGGGTCTTGGGGTTTACAGGGTTTAGGGTGCAGGTTTTATAGGGTCCAGAGTTTAAGGTTCAGGGTTTCCACCGCAATTTTTTTCATTGGGACTAAAATCTATCTTCCTGGACCAGTCAGCTTGGTTGCACATATACGGGTCATGTGGAGGATTTAGGGTCTAGGATTCAGGGACCTTACCACATGCATAGGGAATCAAGTGGGCAGGAAAGTTGACAAACAAATGGAAGCTGGGATTGCATAGTGGAGTCATCACATGGCGGATATTGAAGCCGTGTATGCCCTAAGTTCCTTTTGCCTCGTGAAGTGGCATTGAAGTATACAAAGGTGATTCGCGAGCGATTACTAGTATCAAGAGTAAATGCATGACTACATTGTTGCCACATTTTGCGGCCCCAAAAGGGGGCATCTTTTTTTTGTCTGCCGCTTGCATTTCTCCGGGTTCCAGAGGTAGGGAGAGGCATGAGCAGTGCATTACCTGACCACTGTAGAAGCATGACCCTGCAACGCTAAGTCCTCGAGATTAGCATAAATCTGATGACTAGTAGTACTATTACTGCTACTCTTATTGCTGCTACTACTACTGCTATGTTCTGAGAGGAGCCCCCCCTAAACCCAAAATCCTAAGTCTGACTGCGAGTGTTTTTGCAGGGTTGCGCTTTGAGATTGCAAGTAGCAGTTACTATTGTAGACCTTGCTGTGAGCCTTGTACCAGGAGCTTATGACTTACTTTGAGATCAATATGA